GGGTTTCGGTGGTTCTGCGATGGAGAGCGTGACGTTCCCGCGCTCCATGGACGTCTTGGGGTTTCAGGGTTGCGTTTCTTGTGGAAGGTTTCTTGTGGTCGCGGCCTTACGAAACGGTATGCTGTGCCCGAGGGCGTGCAGTTCGTGAGGAAGAAGACGGCCGAGCTTTCGGAGTCCGAGCGGGTGCAGAAGATCGGGGAGTACGCCAAGGCCGGTGGCCTTTTCGGTCTCTGTTCCTTCAGCACGCTCATCTGCGAGTCTTGCTGTCCTCGCACAATTGAGCCTTCCCACCTGGCTCGAAGGAGAAACACAACGCCATACACATAAACGTCTTGCGCAGCGCCATAAGTTTGTGTTTGTGCCGTTTTTCTTCTTCTGCTTGAGCCTTCCCACCCGACACCGTCATCATGATCAGCATTGTGGGGCCCAGTCTTGCGTTTCCATACATCTGCAACAGGGGAGCACTCGCACCAGGTGCCCCATCCCGAGCGCTGTTGCCCACCGTGCCAAGGGCCCCGAGCTGTGGTCGAAAGCTGCGACAGCGGCCGCCCTCCCTCCGCGCCGCCCCCCTCCGCTCCCCCTCGCCCCTCCTCCTCCTCGCCCGGGAGGGCAGCCGCTCAGTGGGCCCCGGAAACGGCAGGGCCGTTGTCTCACCGTTTCCGAAAAAGTGTTTCTTGAGGAGGAGGAGGAGGAGGAGGAGGAGGAGGAGGAGGAGGAGGAGGAGGAGGAGGAGGAGGAGGAGGAGGAGGAAGGAGGAGGAGGAGGAGGAGGAGGGGGGGGGGAGGAGGAGGAGGAGGAGGAGGAGGAGGAGGAGGAGGAGGAGGAGGAGGAGGAGGTCTCTGCAGTCCTGGAAGACCTGCTTCTGAGGGGGCTCGGGTGCACGGCTCCAGGATTGGGACCAGAGCTGGAACCGGTAAAGAAAAAGGCGACGGAACCGGCAAACAAACGGCGTCGGAGCTGGCAAGCAAATTGGCAAACCAGAACCGGACAAGAAAACGGCCCTGTCGTTTCCAGGGCCCACTAAGGTCGGGGGTGGACAGACCTCCTACCCTGACACGTCGATTAGTGAATTGGCCGTTTTCGGTGCGCGAGAGGGCGTCGCGGCCGTCATTTTTGCGGGTCCAGGTCCGTCGGTTTTGGTCCCAGGCCGTTTTCGCTAAGGGGAGGTTTGCTAAAGGGAGGTTTGTCCACCGCCGAACTGAGGGCAACCGAAGTAGCATTTTGCCCCCCTCCGATTTTCGGCGTCGGGCGATCACTGCAAGGACTGCAAGGCGTGGCCTTTTGTGCAGCACCCGTCCTGGAATTGCTTCGGAGCCCGCGGCGCGGTTTCTGCTGGCGCCCTGATGGGCTGCGCCCCGGAGGACGGTCGATGCGTATTGTTTGCAGGCGCGGATGGGGCAGTGCAGTCGTAAGGTTAAGGCGGGCCTGTCCCCCTAGAGGGGGATTTTCGAAGATCGATCCGTATTCTTTTTGCAGGCGCGACTGGGACAGTGCAGTCGTAAGGATAGGCTTAAGTCGGGCCTGTCCCCCTACGTGGATTTTCGATGATCGATCCGTATTTTTTTTTTGCAGGCGCGAATGGGACAGTGCAGTCGTAAGCTTAATTCGGGCCTGTCCCACTACAGGGAGATTTTCGACGAAAAATAAAAATATACAAAAAATAGGCTAAAAATAGTACAGGGACTATTTTTGTGTATTGTTGGATCTTATTTGTGTATCTTTGGGGTATTTTTCACTCTTTGTCGAAAATTCCCCAGTAGGGGGACAGGCCCGACATAATCGTAAGGATAGGCCTGCTTGTGCCGTGGCCGATTTTCACACTTCGTCTGAGTTTGTCTATGTTTGGGTCTGTTCACGGAACTCCCTGGCAGTGATCCATGCGTGGGCCATCTAGCTTCTCATGCACATGGACAAGAAGTTGCCCCCTCTCTGAAGGACACGGCCAAGGTCGTGTCGGAGAGGACGCTGCAGGGCGTCGAATTTGCGAAGGACGCCCTTCGCCTTGACGTATTGTGCTGTGTTTCTGTTGCCATGTGTGTTGCTCACCTATTTGCCAATGCCGCGACATTTTCTGGCAGACCTATGTTTCGCCTCTCTTGTCTTCGCCCTTGCTACGCCTCGCTCTTTGGGTTACGACAGGCGCGCACCGCGGAGGCGCGGCGGCGTGGAGCCGCATGAGGGCGTTGCTGCTGGGGCCTTCGGTGGAGCTCCCTGTGGCGCCACGGAGCGTGCGAGGGGGGTGCCGCAGTGGCGGGTGGAACCGCAGGCGGGCGCTCTTGGAGCGCTTGTGGGCGCTCCTGGGGCCATGTTGGGGCCGTCTCGGGCCCCTGTTGTGGCTCTCTTGGGCCAATTTGGAGCCGTCTTGACGCCTCTTGAGCCCATCAGAAGCTGACCAGCGAACATTCAGCACTAGATGATCCCCGTGGGTATTGGACATGTCTTTGGCATGTCGGGGGCGTCCTTGGGAGGCTCCTTGATCACTCGTAGCTGTCTTGGGGCAGTCTTGGGGCCTCTTGGCAGCATGCAGGAGGCCATCTCGAGCCATCTCGGGCTATCCTGTGCGCTCTGGGGGCTATCTGGGGCAGTCTTGGAGCAATCTTGGGCCATGTTTCAGGGGGGGAGAAGCACACAGACGCAATGAACCGTCGATCCTCACGGAAATATGGGAAAGTATGGGAAGTGGGGGGAAGACGACAGTTAGGAACAAAAAGTAAAGTATGGGGAATCCTGAGATTTGTGTCTATGTATTTGTGTGTTCCAGGGCCCCTTCGGTGTTGGACGCTCTCGCGTCTCGCGGGGCGGTGGGCCCCGACACAGAGGAGGGGGCACGCGGAAGGGGAGCCCGTCCCCGCAAAGGGAAGGCCGGGGCTGGAAGTAAGCCGGGCCTGCCCCTCTACGGGAGGAAAATTCAGAAGTACACCCTGCGAAATGCTTAAGAAATCATGGGTTAAGAAATTCATAGTCTCAGAACTTGAATGAAAAAACAAATATTCTACTCAAATCTTAGGATTTACATTGAAACATTAAGAATAATCGAGACTCTGGCCGAAAATTTAAGTTTTCTTAAGCATCGCCTAAGGTTTAGTCACAAAATAGTTTGGGGACGATTTTTTGACCATTCTTGATTATCTTTGGGGTATGTTGGGGGTATTTCGTGGTTTTCGTCCAAAGCCACCTGCAGGGGGACACGCCCGACCTAGGGCTGGACACGGAGCCGCTCTCGGCCACCTCCGGCCTTGACGAGCTGGTGGAGTGTCCTTGGGATCTCTGCTCGAGCCCTCTTGGCAACCAAAGGAGATGCACACAGTGTGAACCTCCTAGTGGCAAGCAGGAGAATAATAAACAAATCCGGCCCAGAGCCTGCGCCAGATATCCCCCCAACAAGGTAGGGTAGAGTATACGTATTTTGACGCTTCCGTAACCCCATCAGCCCATCCAGGAACGATGTCTATGAAAGCTGTCTGAATCAAGGGCCTAAGTAAGCACGTAGTGAAGCAGGGATGCCAACAATGGTGAAGATAAGACCTCGGGGAGTCTCCTGGAGCCATATTGGGGCAGAGTTGAAAGGCTGTTGGGCCCTCTTGGGGCCATCTTGGGGCCATCTTGGGGCTCCTCTTGGGGCCATCTGAGAAGCCATGGCTCAAAAAGAGGGCGGAGGCAATTCCCACGCCCCCCACCTGCTTCGGATGCTGAGCACAATTTTCTTGCAGCCGTCTTGGGGCCCTCTTGGGCTGCCCTTGGGGATCTTTGGGGCTCTGAGGGCTCTTGGCGCATCTTGTGGAGTCGTCTCGGGGCCCCCGGGCCTCTCGTAGATATGTCAGAAGATATCATTAAATGCCGGTCGTTGAAAGTAGGTATTTTTGGATTCCCAGATCCCAATCTGCTTCGAGCGCCTTCCTACTTCAAGCATCGGCACGCTTTTGCTGTGTTTTGTCATTCCCTGGGGGGGCCTGGGCCCAATCTACAATCTCCGCCTTCCTACTTCATGCTTTTACCTACCTCTTCCGACCGACGTGTAACTATCTCACGCTATCTGGAGCCATTTCGGGTGCCATCTGGGGGTGTCGGGGGCCCTCGTGGAGCCACCCTGGGCGAGACAGGACCCTCCGACCCTTCGCCCTCCCCCCCCCCCGTCCAGGCCCAGGATCACGGGCAGGGGCAGGCCCTCCACGAGTACACCTTAGGCGATGCTTAAGAATACCCAAGTTTTCGGCCAGAGTCTCGATTATTCTTAATGTTTCAATGTAAATCCCACGATTTGAATAGAGATTCTGGGTTTTTATTCAAATTCTGAGACTATGAATTTCTTAACCCATGATTTCTAAAGCATTTCGCAGGGTGTAGGGC